CATCTCATCTCATCTCATCTCATCTCATCTCATCTCATCTCATCTCATCTCATCTCATCTCTTCCCATTTTATTTCTTCTTTTTTATTCTCCTCACTTCTTCTCTTATTTCTCTTTCTATCAATTCCTATTTCATTTCATCTTCATTTTCTCTACTTTTCTCCTTTCTTTTTCTCTCTTTTATCCTGTTTTATTTTATCTTTTATTATCCCACCTCCTTTTTTTTCTCTCTTTTTCATCATATTACTCCCTTTATTATATCATCATTTATTCTCTTCTACTCTTTTTCTTTCTTATTTTTATTATTTTTTCTCCTTTTATTCATTATTTTTCCTCTTCTGACTTTTCTTTTTTTTCTTCTCTACCTCTTTCTCGTACTTCCTATTTATTTTATATCTGTTTTTTCCTTTTTTATTTTTTTCCTCTTTTTCAAACTTTTTCTTCTTTTATTTACTTTACTCTTTTGTTTTCCAACATCTCTTTTCTCATATCCATTCAAATCTTTCATTTCATACTCTTATCTTTGCTCCTTCTCCTCATCCTACTTTTATGGCATATTTTCATTCCCTGTTATTTCTCTCTTTCATTCTCCTTTTGCCCAGTCTTTCGATGCATTTTGGCAACATATAAGTGCCTTTTTCACCTTTTTTGTTTACAGCTTTCCTAGACTTGTATATGATTTTTCTTTTACCATTCCGAGACTATACTCTACAATACCATGCTTTATGTTCTATTTTCGTTAGTAGTGTCGATTAGACAATTCCGGTCGAGCTCAAAGCTGAAGTCCAGTCCAGTCCAATCCGGCCCTTCGTCAATGAGAATACATTTTCGTGAACAAGGCTAGGTGTTAAATAACATGAAAGCATGGGTTCTATTCAACTGTTTGTGAGCATTGACAACGGCCAGTCCATATCAGCTTAAACGGGATGGGGTGAATGCAGCTTTTGCATCAGATCTACATTTAGTCTCGAAACCGACGTAAATAAGTGAATAAGTGTTCTTACATTTTGCCCCAAAAAGTGCTCGATCAACTTTCAGCTCCCATTTAGTATGCAGATCGAATCTGCATTCTGGCCGGTACCAAAATTCCTTTTTGATGGCATAGCAAAATGGCAATCAAGGGCATCGTGAAATCTACACATTTCATTTTATTCTGCCAATGCTTGCCTAACAACAATGGCATAGTCTATGGAAGTTATCCCAACTCTCCCCATTACACCAATTCACTTAAATTACACAACGTCGACCCTGTCCTTTGCTCGACAATTCTCAATTCTCCTCTTAAATCTCAAATTCTACCAACGCCCTGCATACCATTTTATGCAGCCAGTTTTCTTGCATCGGGTTCATCTCCACCACCCATCCTCATCCACCGGAACTGTCGACCAACTGGATTCTCCGCCCACTTAACCAAAGCCTGCCTCCAATCAGAAGCCGACCCTTAACACCAACAAAGTCTCCCGCAACACTACCTTCTCATTGAGAAGATAATCTCCTCCGCAACCATCTTCCTCGATGCATCGTTTCGCCATATATTTCGGGAGAATCTGCTTTCCGTGTGAAGAATGGTGGACTGCGGGAAATAGAGAAAACCCTTTCAAGATTGAGTATATTTCTACAAGACAAAACTCTCTTTCCTCCGCATCACTTTTAATTAACTCCACATCCAACCGGTGCACATTTGTTCTATCCAGCTCCTGGGCTCGACTCAACAAACTTTCGAACATACCAAATCACCTGCTTTAGCAAATTTGGCTTTGTTCCTCTTTCCTTTTTTATATTGCCCATTCTCTCCTTCCTTCTATTTT